ATTTGTATGTTTATATATATATATGCATTTATATATGCATTTATTTGTATTTATATGTATGAATATATATATATATATATGTGTGTGTGTGTGTGTGTGTGTGTGTGTTTGTGTATGCATTTATATTTATATTTATGTGTATATATATATATTGTATACAATTTTTTTTTACTTTATGTCAACTTTGCACTTCGAACACGGACGCACTTATGTTTATAAAAAAATTCAAGTAAATTCGCGTTTACGTGTTTGCATGAGTTCCATTGAGGTGTGCCTGCATATTCACGTATTTGTCATTGTCGTCGTATTGGTTTGTTAGCCAAATGGCGGCATGATCATGGACTCTTCGAAAGACTTCAGTTCTCGAGCAACCGTCCTCGTATTGGCATTATATTCTGGACAAGGATTGCTTCAGGTCTTGTCATGTTCCTTGTTGATTTACTTATGGAACCTAAATCAGCGTGTTTGTAGCTTAGTACATATTCCATCAGGGTGAGTCTTTAGTATCTCGACCGTGGCTACCGGGATAGTTGGTAGATAGTCAAAGCGACGATAAAAACACAATCGGTTAGGACGACAAATGTGAACAGAGCCGACTACGGCGATCAATTGTGTCCTTAGACATGCACTGTATACAGAGGATATCATTCTGGATTGGCTTTTGCCACTTGTGTATTATTCGAAAGTAGCTAGTTCGCCGGGGACCAAGTGCGAAGTTTGGTTTTGGTCCGATAAGCATCTGATGTATATTATTCGAGTCGTGATACTCATTTGCCCTTTGGTTCACAGGCGGAGTTCGCGGCGCTACACAACAGCCTGATGGAGTTCAAACATCAGAAATACGCGGCTGATGCGACGAATGCGAGTCTTCAGAAACAGATAGACAGTCTACAGAATAAAAACCCAAAAAAAGCAAAGGTATGTGAAACAGATAGACAGCCTACAGAAGAAAACCCCGAAACAAGCAAAGGTATGTGCCAACTTTGGTACGAGGCCATGCACGCTTATGGCACTGACCGTTGTTTGCGCAGTCGTAGGTGACCCCGGAAGATCGAAACAATATGCTTACCCATTTGATACCATGCTCGTTTTGAGAGCCGCTACCAGAAACGCCACAGCATCGCATGTCCTGGCTAGACTACCAAGCGGGTTTGAGAAGGATGTGATATAAGGTGCAATATTAACTCAAACTGCAACGGATATATGGTACCGAACTGCGTTTTTTATCAGGTCTTAGCCGCCGAAGCAGAATCGTGCCGGCTTAGGAAGGAGTTGGGCATCGCCTGGGAGGAGCATATGACCACACGGGCAGAACTAAACGACCTACAGGACACTGTAGTGAGCCAGAAGAATACGTTCCAATCGAATATAATCGCATTAACCACGGACAACACGGAATTGCGAGCGACCAACACTCTGCTGGCGGTTCATATCCGCGCTCTGGGTATTTGGGGGGAGTGTGGTGGTGGGCATTGTTGACCTGTTATTAATGTTCTTGAGGCTCACACGAGTAGAATATATATCCGGGGCGGATGGGATGCGTCAATTGGCCACTATCCTGGCATACTTTTATCGATGTTCTTGAGGCTCACGTACGTAGAACCTATATCTGGGGCGGATGGCTGATGCATGAATTGGCCACTATTCTTGCATACTTTTGTCGATGTTCTTGAGGTTCACACACGTACAATATATATCTGGGGTGGATGGGTGATGCATGAATTGGCCACTATCCTTGCGTACTTTTATCGATGTTCTCGAGGTTCACACACGTACAATATATATCTGGGGCGGATGGGAGTTGCGCAAATCGGCCACCATCCCGGCATACTTTCGACGTGACCATATGCTCTACTTTGTCTCCTGTGTCAGGCGTATTGTGATGTATCCCAGTACCGCGCATCCGATCTATTGCGCCGGGGCCGTACACCCACTCGGGCATTTAGCGGCGTAGCTGTGGTTGGACTGCCCTCCCATAGTCCCAATGTCCAGTGCTCCGCCGGTAGTGCGTTCCCTCCACCCACACCTCGCAGCGTGATTGCGATAGTTAAACTCCCACCGTACTGACCTGTGGCGCTTGTATTGCAGGTGAAACGTCCGCGGAGGCGGCCTTGCTGACTAAAAGCTTCAACTACGACTTAGAAGGAAACATAGTCAGGCAGATGAATCTGAAGGTATATACATTGCTGCCACATGCGTTATCTTTTTCCCGTATCGGTTGCCTCGATTGCCATTGCCAGTTGCTCGTCGAACACTTTCACGGCGGCGATCGGTTTCATGGCTGTGTGCACCGAGTGGAGTGGATTGCTTGAGTATGTGATATGTATGTGCCGTGGATTGTGTTGTTTGTAGGGATTATCAATTGTTGCTAGTTCTGTCGAGACAGCACTTGGTGATATGCTCTGTACGTGAATTGGCAGCCGTTCAGCTGTGATTGGACTGATGTTTCTGGGATTGCAAACACATAGGCATTAGAGACGAAGCTGATTGAGAAAGACGATGCCGTGATAGCGGCAGAGGAGCAGATTAGAATACTGACCAAGGTATGTATATCTATTACTTGTCTGTGTGCAAGTGTGCAAGTGATAGAGACACTGACCAAGGTATGTATATCTATAATTTGTCTGTGTGTAAGTTCTGCAGCGTAAAAAACTCCTTTGCAACATATGTGAATGTGTTTGCTGGTCGTGGGTGGTATGTATGGTACACCGACGCACATGCCGCCCTTGTGCATAATGAAAGGGGTGACTCATGGAATGGAATAGCCGAGGGTCACAACCCACTGAACAGTCTGAGGGCGCCATACCATAGCAGTCCTCAGATATGTAGCACTGCAGGACGCAGTCCCCTCTCGTTGGTTGACTATGGCAGTGGCTGTTGCTCACCTGCCATCTCCTGATACCTACTACTGCTATCTCCCGATACCTACTGCTGCTATCTCCTGATACCTACTACTGCTATCTCCTGATGCCTACTACCGCTATCTCCTGATGCCTACTACTGCTATCTCCTGATACCTACTACTGCTATCTCCTGATATCTACTACTGCTATCTCCTGATACCTACTACTGCTATCTCCTGATACCTACTACTACTATCTCCTGATACCTACTACTACTATCTCCTGATACCTACTACTGCTGTAACAGACGAACAATGAGTTGGGCGCACAATTAGCAAGTGTCATGTCAGACGCACGAGAGCGCGACCAGGAGCGCCAAGACGCCATAGACAAAGCGGCGAAGAAGCTAGAGGTGAGTAAGGTACCGAACAGCTGAATGAGTGTATTATTAGGTCTATGTGAAGAAGCTAGAGGTGAGTAAGGTACCGAACAGCTGAGTGGGTGTATTATTAGGTCTATGTGATGAAGCTAGGTGGGTAGGCTGCCGTACAGCAGAATGAGTGTATTCGATCTAGTGTGCACATGCTTGTCTATAAGAGGATCACTGAAATGGAATATATCGCAGGACACCTTAACTTTGGTTGTGCCTGCTTTTGGTATCTACGTACCTGAATAGCGCCCCCGGAAGTACTGCAGTGGTATATGAATGGAATATTTGTCTGAAATTCTACACTCGACTGACTGTATTGGACTTCAACACCGCCGCAGTCTCTGAAGCTTCTCGAGAATGACTACAACACCCTCTTGGCCGGACTCAAAGACCAGCTGAAAGCAAAGGACGATGCATACCACGATATGAACATGGTGAGTAGGTATCAGACCCGCTATATAGGGCTCTGAGAACTGTAGGGTTATGACAAGTGTGGTGTTCAGAGAACTGTGGGGTTATGAGAATTGTAGGTTATGAGAAGTGTAGGGTTAACAGAACAGTAGATTTAACAGAACTGTAGGGTTAACAGAACAGTAGGGTTAACAGAACAGTAGGGTTAACAGAACAGTAGGGTTAACAGAACAGTAGGGTTAACAGAACTGTAGGGTTAACAGAACAGTAGGGTTAACAGAACTGTAGGGTTAACAGAACTGTAGGGTTAACAGAACTGTAGGGTTAACAGAACTGTAGGGTTAACAGAACAGTAGGGGTTAACAGAACAGTAGGGTTAACAGAACAGTAGGGTTAACAGAACAGTAGGGTTAACAGAACAGTAGGGTTAACAAAACAGTAGGGTTAACAGAACTGTAGGGTTAACAGAACTGTAGGGTTAACAGAACAGTAGGGTTAACAGAACAGTAGGGTTAACAGAACAGTAGGGTTAACAGAACAGTAGGGTTAACAGAACTGTAGGGTTAACAGAACTGTAGGGTTAACAGAACAGTAGGGTTAACAGAACAGTAGGGTTAACAGAACAGTAGGGTTAACAGAACTGTAGGTTATGAGAAATGTGGTGTTCAGAGAACTGTAGGTTTATGAGATGTAGGAGAAAACTGTAGGGTTAAGAGAAACGTATGGTTTAGAGGGAATGTATGGTTCGGAGCTGATATGTTTGTATAAATTTCGTCTACTGCTAGTTGCCATTTATTTTGCATGCACGGTGTGCGGGCGAATCAGGTTGTAAGTAAGCATGCGTTTTTGTAATCGGGCCCAATCCATTTTTTTCATCTTCATTTTTAGTGGCATACAGGTTCAGGTCCTACCCTATCTCTATGATCCCCCCCCCCACACACACACACACACACAAGCACACACCCTCTTGTCTATGGCAGTATAATTTCTTTATCATAACTGCTTGAAACTGGGAACTCAATAACTAGGATCATTTGATCGACTCACCGTGTCCCTCCACCACACCCTGATTTGCAGGATTTGACACTGATCACCAAACAACTATCAGCCGCCCAGAGCAACGCGCGGATGAAAGAGAGCGAACTAGACCTGACGAAGGTACCGCACCACACTCATAGAATTTGCTTTCCCATTCCTCCAATGCCGTGTTTGCTAAGTAAAGCATTCTCGTGTAGTATAGATATTGTGGGTTTGCTTGGACTGGAACGAATCGGTATCGTTGGCATGGAGCTTGAAGTCTGCGGCTATCAGCTGTGGGGTTGGATTGTGTAGGTCTCATAAAGGGCATATAGATTGTTGGTTTAGTTCTTCTTTGAAGTCTTTGAAGGTGTGTGTGTGCGTGTCATGTCTTGCGGTGAGTTCGTAGTCAGATGACGGGTACTGCCGTGTGCGCCTCCTACACACCGCAGACTCTTCCGCTCGACGCGACACCCCCGACGAGAGCATTCGTAAGTGATGAGCTGATACACTCGAGAAGCACAGTCCGAAGCACGTGCGTTTAAGCCATCCAAGCAAATGGACTGGCCGTGTATCTGTTCTCCGTATTAACTTTTTTTCTAATCGGATCTCTCCTTTTAGAAAGAACTGGGGAGGTTAAAGCACCTTTCTGCGGTCTTACCCAAGTACGAGCAAGAGCTAGAGGCTGTTAAGGTATGTTCATGAGTGGGGCATGCATCTCCCGTCACCGCCATACGACTGCTGGTCAGAGGCTTCCACGAATGGGCCGGTGTAGTACCCTGAAACTTAGCGGTTGGTTTATGAGTACGCTGAGTCTTAGCAGTTGGTTTATGAGTACGCTAGTCTTAGCAGTTGGTTTATGAGTACGCTTAGTCTTAGCAGTTGGTTTATAAGTACGCTTAGTCTTAGCAGTTGGTTTATGAGTACGCTTATTCTTAGCAGTTGGTTTATGAGTACGCTTAGTCTTAGCAGTTGGTTTATGAGTACGCTTAGTCTTAGCAGTTGGTTTATGAGTACGCTTAGTCTTAGCAGTTGGTTTATGAGTACGCTTAGTCTTAGCAGTTGGTTTATGAGTACGCTGAGTCTTAGCAGTTGGTTTATGGGTACGCTTAGTCTTAGTAGTTGGTTTATGTTGTCTACCCCTAGCCGACGTGTGGTAAACTGTTTACGGGGGTAGGCCATCAGCTTCAGTTCTTGGCCCCAATGTCGGTGTATACATGTAGCTATAGAGATATATCCACCTTAAAACACGGTGATCGCATCTGTGGCTACCTTAAGATTTACTGTGTCACTTGTGTACGTTTGATTGTATGCGTGTACGTCTGTTGGTAGACGATTCTATTACTGCAATAGTACCGCATCGAGTATTGGGAGCACCCGAGCCTAAGCCTGAACCGTTCTTTCTTTTCTTTCACTGTTCGTGTGAAACACGGACGTTCACTCACTCACTCACGCCTAGCTCTTCCACTCCTCATAATTTGTGCAGAAGGATTACACAACGATGTCCACCGAGAATCTATGTCTGACAGACAGTCTCCATCAGTTAAAACAAACGTAAGTTAGTTTTTGTTATGAAGTTAGTTTTGTTATGAGGTTTTACATTTACTTTTACAACTCCTTTGGACCTTTGAGCCTCATAGAACGCCTTGTAAGTCGTATACGTTTGTCTGTTTAGGCCCCTGAAGAGCTGTAGCGCTTCAGACGGTCAGTCTCACATCAACAACTGACTATGAAATTGTTAGACATGTGGTACCGTTGCACATAATAAGACTACTGAGGAGAAAGTTAACCGTCTTGTCTCTGTAGTATGCATATACAGCCAACCACCAACACAAACATTCTCTCTCTGTGTCTCTCTCTCTCTGTGTGTGTGCGAGAGAGAGATAGAGTCGTATGCTCTCATGGATAACATTGCATAGTAATAGATGAGCAAGCACGTATCTGTTGACGTGTGCCAGACAATCTGCGCGTCCTGACAATTAGGCTCTGTTCTTTTTCTGTAGTGGTAGTGTTGCGAAGCACTCGATGACTGCCGAGATAAAGCATGTCAAAGCTGAGTTGGCGCACCGCACGGCCGAACTCGAATGGCTGCAGCAAGAGGTGGGCTAATCTAGTCAAACAGTAGACAGGCTTGAATGATTCACATGCAACTCTCCTATATTATTATATTATTATATTATTATATTAATATTATATTATATTATATATATGTTATATATATATATATATATATATATATATATATATATATATATATATATATATATATATATATATATATATATATATATATATATATATATATATATATATATATATATATATATATATATATATATATATATATATATATATATATATATATATATATATATATATATATATATATATATGCTATATATATATATATATATATATGTATAT